GGGAAATTCATGAGTTTTGGGGATTTCACGATTCTCCAATTCCGGGACAGACGCACATGAGAATTAGATTCTCAGGAAGAATAGCTCTGTTCTGTTGAAGTCATCGCCTCCCGGTTGTGTTCTGTTCGATGTTGTGATGTTGATGTTTTTTTGTTTTGCAAAATCATTACCTGCGGACACCGCACGCTGATCATACTATCCCTGTCCATCTTACAAACATGTAAATCAACACAATGTTCTATGGTGCTGGTACTGTGCCATGTTTCAACCTTTCAAAAGTTTCATCGCAAAACCCCCAGTGAGTATCCCATACTGAGCACCAATGGCTGCCTATCGCCTCGTCACAACTGCAGCTTTGCGCCAGGTTTTGAGAAGCCTGCCCCTTAGGTGAAGTGAAAAACATCACGTGCAGACTTGCAGCAACCGTAGACAGATTGTCACTCTTTCAAGTTTGAGGCACTGATACGATCTTGTTTGGAGCTTGGCTCAGGCGATGAAGCCCGAGACTTGCTGGGCAAGAGCGTGTCATTCCTGCAAAAGTGCAGCCCTCAACGTGAGTACTGTCACAACATGACACAACTGTGATAATTGTGAGATAATTAATAATTACGATACTTTGGCCATACATGGATGGGAACAGCAGATCCCACGACAGGTCGAGCCAAGATGCAAAGGCAGAGAGTGCGATGAGAAAAGCTGGCGAGACTCAACAGCATTGTGTTTGGGGAGGTGAAGTATTTTTTCCGAACGTGCAGCGGAGCATCAAAAATTCTGGTCCTTGCGTGTTTCAATCCTCAAATTGCACCAAGTTTGGTCTTGAGAGTCAAGTTGGTCTTGATCTGGCATAGATTCTTTGCTGTCTGGATTGAGCTTGCCAAATTAAGGCTCTTTTGATGGAGCAGGGCCAGAAGTCGGGTGCTTGAAGAGCTGTCGGACCCGAGAGAACATCAGAAGCATGCCACGACATGTTCAGTCTTCGGCTGGCACAATTGGCTCTTTCAAACTACTCGTATATACTTCGAAAACACAGTGTTCTTTTTGAGAAGAAAGAGAGGAAGGACTCTTTGGCGGCCTGGACTTCGCAAATAGAGCGAGAGAGGGAGCGAGAGAGAGAGAGGGTAAGCAGAGAAATACACACTCAAAACCAAACATACAGATGCAAAGCTGACGCGAACACAAACACATTGAATCTCACATGCACGCAGAGAAGGTGTGACGTGCACAAGGTGTGCTGCAAAGTTTCTTCCTTATCGGTTGCCTCCTAGGCTTGGCCTCCAGAGTTTGGTGACTCTGGGACTGGAAAGCAGGCCAGGAATGTCTTGCAACGTCTGGTACAAATTCGGACAAATATCCAAACAATTTTTCTACCACTCAAACTGAAGCGTAGCGACAAGGGCAATGAAAGGACTTCGACCGAAAATCCATCTCTCACAATGACTGACAATGACTAAAGGATCAACTCCTTCACCAAAGTCAAAGCTGCAATTAAGGAAATGTCAGAGCCTCAGGATTTCCATGAGTCGGACAAAAACTATCAAAAACTCATATCTTTTCTTAATTTTCTTACGACATTCTTACAATTTAAATTTTCGTGAGGATATCCAGTCTGACGAAGCAACAGGAGGATGAAATCGCGTCATTCTCTCAGACTTTCCCTGGCGAGTGGCTTCAATTCAAGAATCATTCCAAACATCGCTTGTTTGATGTGCAGATTCTGCAGACTGTACAGAGATGGGACAAGCATAGACTAGCAGTGACCAGCAGACAAGAAAGGCATCGAGATATGTGCGTGGACGAGTTTAACAAGAACAATCTCACCACAGAGGAGAAGCAGCGCCAAATTCTCGGTTCTCCAAAGCTGAACAAGCCAAACAGAGAAGTAGTTGTACTGAGTTGTACACTGTTGTACTATATTTATATTTGATCTATATTGCACTGCGTTGGAATATTTGGAAATCATTGAATACCTGGCTTCGATGGCTTCGATGGCTTCGGGATGTGCTTCTAGAAGCGCTTGGCATCGAGGCTTGAAGGAACTTGCAGAGGACAAGATCCAGGATCTGCAAACGAGAATGAGAGCACGAAAGAATTTGAGTCAAAACTTGTAGGAAGACTTGAAGACTAAGAGACAGGGATACAGTTTATATATTAGCTATATTATATATCTAATATACGTATGTATTGTCTATTCTATAATTATATATATACACATATGTATATCACATGCATGCAATGGGGGTCTTGCAGAAGCCCGTACTTCCTCCATTCAAAACAATTTGTGTATCTTCAAACATTCCCAAGTCCTTTCCATGTCTCGCATCAAAAAGTTCGAAGGCTCTCAAGACCAAAGTGGCTGAAAGCCAAAAGGAACTTGAGTCTTTGAATGGTGAGGCTGCAATTCAAGCGTCTGACATTGTCTGACTGCTAGCGAGACTTTGAAATTTTGGTCTTAGATAAGCATGGATCTTAGTACTTTGACTGAACAAGCTGTGCAGGTCAGCGAAATGGAGAAGCAAGTTCAGCTTGCAGGTGAATCTAGAAAGCACCATGTACGAAATATGGATAGGCAAGACACATTGAACAGTTCGAGATCGAACAGTTGCATTGCAACAAACTCCACAAATTTGCATTGGGTGTCCAAGGAAGGAAAATGAGAAGCCTTGAACCTAGAGGACCTAGAGACCTAGAGTTACATAAGCAAGAGTTGCAGAAGCAGGATTCTGACTTAAAGCACCGTTGAAACTTGTGTGTGTTTGAAGTTTGAAGCACTTTTGTATGTTGGGCACATGCTTTGCTTTCATCTTGCATTCTCAATACTTGGTTCTGGGTACAAGGTTTCAAAGTGAAGCGGACGAGCAGCCTGAAGCTTGAGTTCAGCGAAGTTCAGCTGGTTTGTGTTTGACCTGCGTCCTACACACCTCAGCAGGGGAGAGGGAAAAAACAAATAGGGATCAAACAAAACACATTTGGAATCAAAAACAATAGTAAATAGGGATCAGAAACAAAACAAATAGGGATTAAAAAACAAATACACTTGAAACTAAAGGAACAGAAAGAAGGAGGCAAGGAAGGAAGGAAGGAAGGGAGGGACGGAAGGAGGGAGGAAGGAAGCACGGAAGCACGGAAGCACGGAAGCAAGGAAGCAAGGAAGCAACGAAGGGGGAAAGAAGGGATGCTGCGCCCTCTCTACATACATCCTAAAGAACCCTGAACAAACCCTAAAAACAAACCTGACGCCCAGTCTAATTGACATGCTGCAAAAAAATGACAATATGTGTATAGTGTATAGCTATTTTTTTTGATCTAGTGAATCATTCCGGTGGTTTCATGTTTATGTAGTTGGAGGGGTAAACAAGTGAACACCTATTTCAAAATGGCTGGGCGCACAAATAAACATCTAGGACCTGTGTTGTGGGGGCTCCTCCAACAGTCTGCGCTTAAAACACCAAGAAAGTTTAGCAGATGTGGGATTTTTGAGTTGTGTTTCATTGAAACAAGAAGGGTTGCTCATAGGAGAGGTGGAGGGGAATCCTTCAACCCTAAATAAACCCTGGTCCTAGACCAAGCCTAAATAAACCCTAAATAAACCCTAAGCCTTAAATAAACACTTAAACCAGCCATGAATAATTCCGAAACCAACCCAAAATAGACCCTGGACCAACCCTAAATAAACATTGAACCAACCCAAAATAAACCCCAAACCAACCCTACATACACCCTAAACCAACCCTTAATAGAATTTCAACCAATTCTAAATAAACCCTGAATAGATCCTAAACAAACCCTAAACTAAACCATAAACAAAGCCTAAATGCACCCGAAACCAACCCTAAATAAATCTTAAACCAGCCCGAAACAAACCCTAAACAAACCGTAAGTAAACCATAAACAAACCCTAAATAGAATCCTACTACCTACTAACCTACTAACCTACTACCTACTACCTACTACCTACTACCTATATACTACCACCCACTGCCTCCCACTACCACCCACTACCACCCACTACTACTACTGCTGCTGCTGCTGCTACTGCTGCTGCTACTGCTACTGCTACTTTTTCTTGATCCTTATTTTTATTTTCATCCCCTAGCTCTTTTTTAGACTGTTCCTTGTGTTCATTTTCCTTTCCCTGAGCCCAGGAGGCAGACACAAACTATTTTGAAGAAGGCAGTGAAGGCCCTCGAGATTCCATGGGTTTTTAATGATTTTCATATCAAATCAGGCTGTGCAACTCCAAGTTGAAGTTACTCGAGATCGAAGTTGTCTACTCGTTTCTTTCGATCCGGGCAGTTCTTGAGCAACTTCTACGGAAGCGGAGTTCCGTCTGAGAGGCACCGGGCAAAAAGCCTTCAGACAACTGGGACAAGTTGTCATTCAATTTACCGATTTGCGATGCAACTAAATTCAATTGTAGGAACTCATGAGGCAGCTCGGCTTCTTCTTCAAGATGGCATTGTTGAAACAACATGCATGTCTAGCTAAAGCTATCTGAATCTGCAGCTCGATGCTCTACCCAATGCTACTATACTTGGTGCTAAAGCCGCTAGGGTTGAAGGAAGCATGTTTCTTTATTTTGGGTGCAGCTTTGCGTTCACATTTACGGATTCAAGGCAAATCACATGATGTAATGTGTCCATGCGAGGTCATCATTGGTGCAGATTAGAAGCCACAGTGCCAAGGAAAGGAGTGTTGGTGCTTTGAATCAAGAGGAATTTGAATACTTGAAGTCAGATACCACGTTCACTTCCCTCAAGGAGCTTCAGGGTTCTGAATCATCTCCTGGAGCTTTGTCAATTTTTTGTCAATTTAGTTCCACGAGTTCCACGTTTTGTTGCAAAAGCATCGGAGGAGGAGACAGCTGCCTTAGCTGATCCTGCACTGGGCAGCCCAGAGGGCTTTGAGGAGAGTCGGGGAGCTGCTCAACTTGTGTGAAACCCTTTCATGTTGCATTGGACCACAAGGTCTCAGGATGTCTCAGGATATGTAAGGATGTCAGAATGTGTAGGGTTCAAGCAGTTCAAGCACTAGTCCACTTCTGTCAAGACCTGTGAATCACGTCGTGAAAAGGACTACAAGAAAAACTCTGGTGGCTCAGGGGACCACACCTCAGCTTTGGATTGATTCAAATATATTCAAATAAAATGATACTACGATGTTGAATGATGTTTCAAAGCACAAGCTGCACTTGAGATCAAATGGGAGCTTTCCTTGTGAGGCAGTATCACTGATTGAGACGATCATTGAAGATTCTCAGAAGATTGAGGCTCGTTTACATGCGTGCTGTTGAAATGCACCAGCGTGATTCTGCGTTGGCAATGAAAAGAGCAGGAGATCTATTGAGGTGTATTTATTTGAGTTTATTTGTGTGTCACTATCAGGCAGAGGCTATTGAAGGCGAGCAAGATGCGCAGTCTGCGTGGCGCACTGAGTCGATTCTTTGTTGTCTTCCTGCAGAGCGTCCTGCGCCAGAAATTGTTTGCCTGAAGGTTTACCACCTGAACTGAGGTATGAGCAATTTGTTTCGGAAACTTCTGCAAACATCAAGGTGAGCTCGGATAGATACTCTGAAGTCTCTGAAGAGTGCAAGCCCCTACCTACTGAACAAACATGTCAAAAGACTTTTTTTTCTTCCCATCACTACAGGCGAAAAACTCTGAGATTGATGGAAAGATGAAAGAGATAGCAGCCTGCCGTGTTTGAATCGAGCATGAAAGGGGATTGCTTGTACTCGATTGGCAATTTTCTCTCCCTCTGAATGGGTGTTTGTTTCCTACCTGTTCCAATACATTCAATGGATACTTAATGCAAGTGACATTTTTGATTTGCGGTGTCGCATAGTGTCGCAGGTGTTGCAACATTCCAATGTGCCCATATTTGACTGGAAAGCTCCAATCCTTTTTATGGGGGAAACCGCCTAAAATGATCATGGAAAGGCTGCAAGTTGTGCAAGACATAGAGAGAACGAAGGTCTAGACCTGGCTGGAGCTGGCTGCCAGGCTGATGCAAAGAACGACAAAGCAGAGGTTGGCAGCTTTGATTATAAAAATGTAATATAAATTTAAAATATTTACAATTGTATAAGTCTGCAGAATTGCACACATATCATTTATCAAATAACATAAATCTGCACTGCAGCTTGAGCGGGAGAATTCAGAGTGCACAAATTGTTGCCTTTTTGCTGACTTTGCGGCTCAAGATCAATTTGAATTGCCATGCATCGCTATTTGTGACCCAGCTCCAGTGTTCATATGACTGGCAAGCCTTCAGGCTTGACACACCCATGCCCATGTGTTTTCGGCTTTTGAGTTGTAATATGTCGCAATAAGCCGCAACTCAAACCTGCAAGACACATATGTGATTTTCTTATTGAGGAACATTACACAGGCTGAAGGCTTGGAGGGCAGCGTCACTAAGATGAACTTACAATGACTGCTTAGATTCTAGATAGAAAGTTTTGCGATCATCATTGCAGAGACGTTGAGTACTTTGAGAAATCCACATTATTTCGTTTCTATTGGCACTGTTTATGCTCCATTGTGTGCCACGCCTTTGCAAAAGATATCCCAAGCTCGCTACGGCTAGTTGAGCTCGCTGAACGCAGCTATTATTGAAAATTAATTTTGCCATCAGGCTGTTTGATGCCCTCCATATTGTTGTATTGATCTCTTTACTCTGTTTGGCAAAGCGGTCATTGCTGTTGTTCCGTGTCGGCATCACGTTGGGGTTGTTTTCTATCGTTGTTTGTGTGTTTCTGCTAGTGGCTGCTTGTTGTGATGTGTCATGTTTCCAGTCGTCCGTTGTCTCTCTTGCATGCTACGGGTCAGTAGAACCTCGGAATTAACACAGTTGCCTCCATGTTGGCAGGTGGTACGACTCCTTTCTTCTGCACTTGCCAACGGGTCCTGTGCAAACGTCGACTGTGAACAAATCCATTCAAAATGAAAGATCCGTCTCTGTCTCTAGCTGCTTTCATTATGTTGCTCTGTTTGTGCTTGCTGTAACACAGTGTTCGAGACTACGAATGCGCGGGTGATTTGTTGACTGACATGTTTGGACTTGTGCATATTTAATATCCACTGCTATCACATAGTGGATGTTGCCGTTCTATAATATTGTCCGGTTTTGTGTCTGTGTTGCCTACTGCCTCCACCATGGTAGCTGTAGTTGCGCGCACTGAAATTCAACAATGGCTGATTCCTGTGCAGCTTGTGTTGAGTTCACTCCTCCGCTACCGCACGAAACTCAACTTTGTACTCAAGGTGGTTTAACGACAGCCTGGTTTGCTGTTTTTTTCCGACTGATGAGACACAACTTCAACTGCCGTGACAGTATACACAGAATCCATGGTGAACAGATTGTGCATGGACACAGTTTTTTAAGTTTCTAGGCAAAAGGCAAAAAGGATGTTTGATTGAATGTACCCTAGCTCAAAACAAAGAGACAACTGTTTTTTTGCTCTTCACTGGATTGTACTGAACTCATTTGCAGAGCCAATCACCAGCTCTGAAGAAAAAATTGCCTTGAGCAGCAACAAATTGCACGTTCAATGCGTGGCCGCTGGTCATGTAAGACAGATTCTTCCCCAAAAACTGAAAGGCAGGCTTTGATTCTTTTATTTTGCAGTGTGGCAGGTAGCTCGGTGATCTTCAACGTTCGCGCAGAGACAAGCTTTGGTGACAGACTTGTGCACCTTGGCATCATAAAATCAAAGATTTAGTGTGGCCAACAAGCGTCTTGAGTGTATCTCGATCACCTTTGGCTAAAGTCTGTGAGTTGCCTACTTTTTCCTTTCGCGCCCTCGGCAGAAGAGCGAAGGGTCTATTCAATTCTAAAGAGTGCCTGCTTCCCCAGCCCAGCCTGCCCGCAAGACTTGTTTGGCCTTTCTGGGGTCCTGAACTTCTTGAGTCTATCCTTGAAGAGGTCATATTGTTCCAGACTCCCACGTCGCAAACTAAGACCCTGTGTACGACTCCATCGCACCAAGCGGGAATATTCCCCGAGAGCTGGATGCATCGCAAAACAGAAATTGAGTAGCGGTACAACCGTGCCCATATTTCATCCGCACTTCTTTCACTCCTGTCCTTCTTGTTGTTCTTGTGGTGCTGCATCAGACCGAAGGCTTGGTTTTCCTGGAATTCGCAGCGTGTCAGTATGTTTCCTTCACCGAATGCATTCATTGAATTCGTCCTAAATCTGCGTGTTCTCGAGGCTCCCTGCATCAGTATCGCTCAGCTGTCAAACAAGTATTCCGTCCTGCAAACATAGCAGTGCTGCTTATCCCGTCCTTAGGAAGTCTTGAAGCTGTTTTGAGCAGCTCAGGGTGGTCGGAAATGGCGATGCTTTAGGCAACTGGAATCCCTGGGAAGGGAGCGTTGAACTTTCCACCACTGAGAAGGACTTTGATGTTGTTGTGTTTGTATTGTGGCAGATGTGTATATTTTCAACCTCAACATATCTCGCATGTTTTCTTTGTCTGCTGTGATGCAATGCAGGACTATCCCCTCTGGAAGTCAGGAGCAATTGAGCTCTCAACAAGCACAGAGTACAAATATGTGCCTTGGATCCCGTCACATTAAAGTTTCGCTGGGTATAAAGGCGCGGTTTGGCTAAGTAAAGGAGTTTGTACTCATCCTGAATATCAGCAAATACTCTCTACATCTCTACATCTCTCTACATTTTTCTACATCTCTCTCTCTCTCTCTGGCTAACAGACTCGCCGTACTCGCAGATTTTGCAACTTCTGTAGACCCAGAAGTTGCCTGGTGGATTGCCGATCGCGAGGAAAATCAACACTGAAATCGGGTTGATGACACAGAGTTTCACCCTTCTGGGGGGAAGATATCGTTGCTCTTCCCCCTAAGTTGCAATGATAAGGACTTTAAGGTAGACATAAAGCTTGACAAGCTGCAGTTTGAGCGGGGCCACACTTGCATCTCGGGGTTTTCTAGGCAAGCTTTAGAAGCTTTACAAAGTGTGCAAGGTTTTCTTTAACTAATCTTTGAATGCTTGGCTTCTGAGGTTCGATTGAGCGGAGAGGGTGATGTTGCCTGGGCCCCTTGGTCTGACGTTTGATGCATTCTCGGCAACACTATATAGACTCTTAATGACTATGATACGTACTTATCCAAATGTATATAAATATGTATATTATATATATATATATACATAAATACATCAGTAATAATACTTCATAAATGAAGAAGTCTACATGTGATGATCTATCTGTGTATATGTATACGTTCACAAGTGAATCCGACAAGCATTGCACAAGACTGTCGAGACGCAACGAGCAGTTAGAGTTGTCGGAGGAATTTGACGGTGGAAATCGATGCGTTTCTACGGACGAATTAAACAAATCTTCCATTGTGGTGGACGATGGCTTTTTTGGAACCTCGGCAACGTCTTGCGGCATTTGATGCTGTTGTTTGTCCCAGAATGGAAAGGACATGTTCTTTCATTGGATTTGGTTGACGTGACATTCAGGTGAGTTGATTGGAGAACACCTTGCGTACCCTCAGGCCTGACATTCAAAAGTTGCATGTTTACACCACTTTACACAGCTTTCGCTGCATATCTCACATGACTTCAGCCGCATTCCTTCTTTTGTTTTTCACATGTTCCGAATTTCTTGCCAGAGCCATGCTTTTCTCAGGCTCTTTCTCAAAGCGTCACGCGTGGATCCAACTTCAACATTGAAGCTTCACCTGGGGCTTTGAGGTCTGCGTCCCAGTGTTTCTCAGTGTGTCCCAGTGTCCCGGTGTGTCCAAGGCGTCCCAGTCTGTCTCAGTGCCATGAAGCTTGCTGCCGTGTGCCAAGACACGGCAACACCCAGATGTCCTTGTGATGTCCTTGTGATGTCTTTGTGATGTCCTTGTCATTCTTTCGAAATCTGCAAAAACCTTTGCTCAGATTGGCCGTGGTGGGTGATGATGCAGCGACTGGTCATGGAGCAGCCGACTACAATGGCTGGGCTGCGCAAATGGGCAAAATGCTGCATGAAGAATTTGGAGCCACACTAAGCTTACACAGTTGTCGAGCATTGAGATGCATGTTGGCGCGTCGCGCTGTGTTCGAGTCATCCTTTGTATCTATCTTTGCACCAAGGATATGGCTTTTACAACTGTGCTGAGATGGGCTTGTCAATTCAGGTAAGCTGCTGTAAGTTCATCTGCGCCTGTCTGTGCCGTTTTTTTCTGTTTTTTGTGATTTTGGAGTCACACTCAGAGCCAGGAAGCCTTCAAGAGAGGCCTCGCACATATGCTTCCAAAGCCAGCTCCAGAGGCTCAGAGACTGGAGGTTAAACGAATTGAACACAATGAATGATTAAACTAAACTGATTAAACCGCATTTCCGCGTTTTCTCAGCAAATTGGATGCGACTGGATCTGGCAATTATGTGATCAGATGAGATCACATTTTACCAAGAGTCTATCACTTCAGTTGACAGTAGGTGGTGGTCATCTCTTTTGGCCTGGAATTGCGATGGCTGGCAAACTGTCCAGAAACTCGGTCTTGAAATTCCAAATGCTCGCATCGACTCCTTGACCAAGAAATTCAGCTTGTCAGAAAAACTGCCCTTTTCAGGATTGGGACAGAGAGACTATCTACGACAATACCATCAAGGCTGGCCACTGCACTATCTGCTAAAGCATGTGAGAACTTAACTTGATCGAAGGAAGTTTAGAAGTGAAACTTCCGACAATATGGACAGTTGAAAAGCAGAGGTGAGAAGAGTCAGAAGAGACAAGATCAGAAGAAAGAAGATGCAGATCGCGAAAAGGTAGGAAAGTCGCGAAACACTGTGTTTTTCCAATGATTTGTGGCTCCGGTGGGTCGAAAAGTAGGCTCGCTAAAGCGGCGGGTGCGGAGCCAGCTGGCCAGATGAGAGATGAAAAATTGCACGCCGTTGTGGCGCGAAGCACATTTCGAAGTCAAAATGTACAAAACACCAGGGGTTCGGACCACTTTTGGAAGTTGAGATGTCGCAAAAGTGCACGCCGTTGTGGCGCGAAGCACATTTCGAAGTCAAAATGTACAAAACACCAGGGGTTCGGACCACTTTTGGAGGTTGCGATGTCGAAAAAGTGGACGCCGTTGTGGCGCGAAGCACATTTCGAAGTGAACATGTAGAAAACACCTCAGTGTCGGACGACTTTTGGAAGTTGCGATGTCGAAAAAGTGCACGCCGTTGTGGCGCGAAGCACATTTCCAAGTCAAAAGTGTTAAAAACTGGCGGTCTCGGACCACTTTTGGAGGTTCAGATGTCGAAAAGTGTCGAAAAAGTGCACGCCGTTGTGGCGCGAAGCACATTTCGAAGTCAAAAGTGTAAAAAACTGAGGGTTTTGAGCCTTTTTTGACGTGAAGATGTCGAAAAAGTAGACACTGATTAATTGATTGACCCATGTAATGCTTATAACGTGAAAATCATATTCCGGGTTCCTGGGCGCTATTTCTGAGTTCCTGGGCACTAATTCTATGTTCTTTCATGGTTCTGGAATTAAAGTGCTGTGGAAATAGAATTTGACTTTTGCAATGTCCAAGTTTGGGTTCCTTTGACCATAAGGGGTTCGGCTATCAGATTCTTAACACAGAACCGCCCAGGATTGCCCAGGACTTCCCAGGACTACCCAGACACTGCCCAGGTACTACCCAGGAATCCTGGAACAGTTATGCTAAGCATTTCAGAATTACAATGCTTATCGTAAGTGTCACCGAAACGGTTTGGCGTCTATAATGCTTGGCACAACTGTCAGGTCGATTCCTGGGTAGTACCTGGGTACTAACTTCTGCCAGGATGTACTTCAACACTACCCACGAATCATCTCCAAGTTGTGACATGCATTACACCGCGCCAGTGCGCTATCCCAAGCACCAGATGTCCTAGTTTTTGAGCGGTCAAGCCCCCACTTTCTTGAATTTCCAGCCCCTGACCGTGCCAGCCTCGGTGCCGCGCACCGTGCCCCAGTTTTTTCCCACGTTATAAGCATTACGTGGGATAATCAACTGATTAACTTAACTAACTTCACTAACTTAACTACCTTAACTTCGACGACAACAGCAACAGCAACAGCAACAGCAACAGCAACAGCAACAGCAACAGCAACAACAACAACAACAACAACACCAACCACAACAACTACAACTACAACAACTACAACAACAACAACTACAACAACTACAACAACTACAACTACAACAACTACACAACAACAACAACAACTACAACTACAACTAGAACTACAACTACAACAACTACAACAACAACAAAAACAACAGCAACTACAACTACAACAACTACAACTACAACAACTACAACTAGAACAACTACACAACAACTACAACTACAACTACAACTAGAACTACAACTACAACAGCTACAACAACTACAACAACTACAACAACTACAACAACTACAACAACTACAACAACTACAACAACTACAACTACAACAGCTACACAACAACTACAACTAGAACTAGAACTAGAACTACAACAACTACAACAACAACAGCAACAACAACAACAGCAACAACAACAACAACAACTACTACTACTACTATTACTACTACTACTACTACTACTGCTGCTGCTGCTGCTGCTACTGCTACTGCTGCTGCTACTGCTACTGCTACTGCTACTGCTACTGCTACTACTACAACTACAACTACAACTACAACTACAACTACACTACACAACAATTACAACCACACAACAACTACAGCTACAACAACTACAGCTACAACAACAACAACAACCACAGCAACCACAGCAACGACAACAACGACAACAACAACAACAGCAACAACAACAACAACAATAACAATAACAACAACAACAACAACTACAACTACAACTACAACAACAACTACTACAACTACAACTACAACTACAACTACAACTACAAAACAACTACAGCTACAACTATATGACTGCAACTACACTACACTAATTACATTACACCACAACTACAACTCCACTACGCTACAACTACAACTACAGTTGCAGTACATCACGCTACATCCAGCAGTTGTGGGTGAGGTGACCACTGCAACCATTGCAACCACTCCAGCAAACACAACTCCAACCACTTTTCGGTCAATCAGTGGATTCGCTCTGCCATCCGTGATTCACAACAACCAACGTCTCCTATAGGTTTCCTATTCTGAAACTTCCGCCACCGCCTTGTGCGGTACTACTGGTATTATATCTTGAAGCCAGATGACATGTAAGGCAGTCGTTGATGGTTTGAATTGGACCAACGCCTTCCTTTCCTTCCTTTCAGCTACTTTGTCTTTACTCCTCCTTTATCATTTAAAGGAGAAACGGTATGGGGTGGCCTTTCAGAGCGTGTAAAGCCGGCCGGGAAGTGCTGGAGGGGCTGTGGTTGTAAACCAGGTTGTGAAGAGTAGGTCCTAGGAGTCCTTAGTAGGTGCCACACAGTAGAGTGGCAGAGTTTGGTGTTTTGAAGATTTTGAAGCTGAGCTATGCTGGGTGCAGGGGTTGAAGGGACAGGCTCCACAGGGGTAGGCTGCCTCTAGGTCTCTAGGTGCTCCGTGGGACGGGTTGCCAATTGCGGATAAATTGCACCTGCCAGATTTCCGGCATGTTTCCGTGCACATATTGTGTTGATTTAATGATTTATTTTGGATGTTTTGGACTGTCTGAGAGTTCTCTCTCTCTCTCTACATTTTTTCTGTTCTTGCTATGGACCCAGCTTTCACGCAACTTTGAGGCCATGAGTGGATTGGTGGCCCAAGCCTGGGATTTGGCTATTGTGCCAGTATTTGCTGGTTTGTGCCCTCACAATGGCTTTAAGAAAGAACAGGCCGGAAGGGGCCTGGTGCTTCCAAGTAGGTCCTTGCTGAAAGCGTCTTTGATTTTGAAGATTCGTCAAGCCTCCCAGGTTCAAATAGAGAGTTGATGGTAGGTCAGATCGTCTGCAAAAGCTTGAGCTGCAGAGGCGGAGCTTTTGCGAAGAGCTGATTCAGAAATGAAGAAGCAGGGAGCTGCAGTCCTTGATTGGTTGTATGCGCTCAGCCCGGGTGGCGACAAATTCGGGACCGGTGGACGGAAGCTGTCACCTTTATTTTTAAGGCTACAGGCTACATGTTCACTTGTTGACTAATGTTGAGAAACGTTGACTCAAACTCTGCTTTCCTTTTCCTCCCCTGGTGTCTTGTGAGGACATGGGCGGAAGGCTTGGCCTGCAGCTCCTTGTGCCCGAGCACACTTGGACACCAGCGAATGTTCTCCTGCATCGACAAGAATATATTTGAACCCTTGAAGGCTTGGACTCTTTGGACTCTTTGGACTCTTTGGACTCTTTGGACTCTTTGGACTCTTTGGACTCTTTGGACTCTTTGGACTCTTTGGACTCTTTGGACTCTTTGGACTCTTTGGACTCTTTGGACTCTTTCTGCGCACGATAGATTTGACAGATTTGACGAGGGACAGAAATTGAACCATCCTGAATTGACAGCAGTCACTGGTCCTAAATGAATCGAGCCCGGTGTTTGAAGGTCCGAGATCTCCTGCAAAAGAGAAAAGCAGAGCTCGACGAAATGTGGCGCCTTTGCTTCAAAGATGGAAGGCAACTCGGTACACAAAGTCTGCAGCTTTTCTGCGTTGCTTCTTGATGTTCTGTTGGTTCTACTATATTGTGTTGTACTTATTTGTACTTCTTCTTGTGTCCCGCTGCACAGCATGCTGTCCAAACGTCAAGATGTAATTGTGCTGCTAGCTGTTATGAAATGCAATCCTACTCTCCTGCCAAGGGGTCTAGAAATCCACTACTGCTCTGCTCGGAAGGAGCTCAAAGATCCTTGGTTGCCAAAAAGATCCAAATAGTGTTTGAACATCTTCTCGAGTTGAACATGTGAGCGCCTTGACGCCTTGGTTCTGTTTGCTGGCTACCGATTTTGGGTTCAGCCCTTCCTTTCTCAAAGCCAAGAAGTCCAACTTGCTCCTCCACTGAGGTTGACAACTCCACTGCAGACGAGCCACTTATTTCGAAAGGTTTGTTTTTGCTTGTGCTTGCTTTATGACATCTCTATGTTTTTATTTGGTGCGCATCATTGGTTAGACAGTACCATGAAGAATTTTGTGTACATGATATATACTGTATATATATGTATGGGTAGTGGAACTTGTTCCCCGGATCGTCATGATCGACCGGCGCAGCCTTTGGGTTCAAGGATGTTCCAGGGGCAAGAAGCTTCGCCGTTGGGAGCTATGGCCACTTTGATAGGCCTTGGTGGCCTGAGTGGATGCCCTCTAGAGGTGGTGAGGACTCTAGAGGGATTAGGATGGAATGTGCAGAGGCTTGGGACTCTGCACGATGCAGGCGATGATGTCATAGGTGTTGTCTTGCAGACAACGGAAGAGAAGCTCGGGAAGGGCATAGATGTTCAAGTACTCCTGGGGTTAATCGAAGTTTGTCATGCAGCAGCGGAAGTTGCGTGGAAGCTGGAAGGTAAGACCTCAGGAGCCGAGCTGCTGGTGGCGCATGAACAGAAGCGTCTCCAGGAGAAGGTAAATGAATGGCGGAAGTTCGCCCAAGGAAAGCTAGCTGAGAAGGTGCCACTTGTGGGCACAGCCAAGGTCATCAGGTGGCCTACTAAGCTACAGAGACGTCTCAGCGAGGCAGGGGATAACCAAACCCTGCGAGACAACGCTGAGAAGACCGAAAGAAACCGGTGGATCTTGCAACTGAAGAGGCTTCTACAAGACGGAGGTTGTCCATCGGTCAGGGAGGAAGTGATGGGTTACGAGTTGTCCCGTCGCTATGGCAAGGGGCGTAGGGTGAATACCCTGCGCAAGCATGTGAAGACGTGGCAGAAGGTCTCGGAGTGGACCATGGCTACCTTCCGGCGAGCGTGGCCGATGGAGCCGTCGGAGTTTGCCCGCTACTTGGAGTGCAGGGCCAATGAACCATGTGGACGTACGGTCCCAGATTCGGTGTACCGGACATTGATCTTCATGGAGAACGCAGGTGAAATCCCCCCGGAGGAACAGCTGAATAAGTCGCCGGCGGTGCGCAATGTGTTAGAAGAGGTCAACATGCAGCTGTCCGAAAACTCTGGGGGGGTATTCACGAAGAGGGCCTGGCACTTGCCGGTCAAGGTGATCGCTGAGTTTGAAACAGTGGTCATGGATGAGAAGGCAAGAGAATATGTCAGATGTTATGCATGGTTCAGGTTGGTGAAAACTTGGACCGGGATGAGGTTCTCCGACACGTGTGGCCTGTTGGAGGATACGCTGAGCCTGCAGAGCTTCGGCCTGACCGCCGTGCTGGCGAAGGCAAAGACAACAGGGCCGGGCAAGAAGGTTCAGAAGCTCAGGATTTGGGTTAACATCCTGTGCTGGTTCCGACACAGGCACTGGCTGGAGGTCGGCTTCGACCTGTGGAAAAGACTGGGCAGGGAGGCAGGTCTTCAGGAGAGAGACTTCGGGCTGCCCTGCCCTACTCGTGATCTTAGCGGGTTCACGAGGAGGATGGCCAACTATGGCATTGCAAGCAAGTGCCCGCAGGCGTTGTTTAACGACCTGAACTGTGAGTACGAAGGGGCGATGATCCCGATGCTCCCGGTGGGCTCTGGGCTGCTTTGGACGGAGCACTCGGAAAGGGCCACTATCAGGACCTGGGCTGACGCAGTGGGAATCAGTCCAGAGGTGAAGAAACAGATGGGCAGATGGATGCCCAGTTCGGACCAGGCGTATGAACGCACCTGGAGGGCCAATGTGCTGAGGGCCCAAGGGATTGCGTCATTCGTTCGCAATCGAATGGGGGGAAAGGATGTCTTCGACGAGGCGGCCGTGTTTTCGGCCCTTGCATCCAAGCTGGAAGAGATGGGGCTCCCACCAGGAGCAACGGAGGTGCAGATCGACAAGCTGAGGACCTTTGGAAAGGGGCCGACACCCAAACGGGTGAGGCTTACACCAGAGGGTCCTGTGTATGAATCAGAGGACGAGGAAGAAGCCAACGTCATGAGGGCCGACAACAGGGTCTTCCAGAAGATACCAGCCCTGGACAGCGAGGACGAGTCGAATGATGGGCTCGGCGATGCAGATGCGGGAGAAGTGGAAGTGAGAGAGGCACCGACTCATGGCACGTACGTGCTGAGCGTGGTAGGTCGGGGACAGACGAAGACGCTCCACCGAATAGGTGAGTGTCACCGCATCCCTGGGATCCATTACAGTCGGTTTGAGGTGGTGGGAGATAATCCCCCGCCAGCCTCAGAGTTTCACCGAAGTTGTAGGTTGTGCTTCCCTCGCGGCACAGGTGCGGGGGAAGAGTCTTCTGGCGAAGCCGAAGACGGGGAGGTGAGCTCTTCCGACAGCAGCACGTCGGTTGAGGAGTCTTCGGACTGAGGAGTAGAGGTTCCGTCCAAGATGCGATGGGACAAGATCTCAAGACACGCTGACCAGGATGGACCGAAGCAAGTCAGCATGTGCTGCAAAACCGCACAGAGAGAAGGGGGGCGGAAGAGAGCTAGCGGGACAGCCCGGATTGCATTACGGAAGTTTGAAGGAGGTCTAAAGGTTTAATATGGTTTGGTCAGTTGCCTTAGTGTTTCAGTTGGACTTGGGACTGGACTTTTGGGACTTCGTTTGAGGGTTTGGTTTGAGGGTTTTGAACTTCGTTTGAACTTTGCTTGAATGTCATTTATGCATGTGGTGATGCGACGGTGTTGCATCATGAATCGTTTGGCAGCACCACGGCTCAAGCTACTGAGGTTAGAGCGCGCTTAGGTGTCTACGCATGGCAGCAGTCCCGCAGCCTGACCTGGACACGGCAGAGGGAAGGGCTGAGGCTATAAAGCTCCTGGATCCAGATTTCCAGGGGCTGCTGGAGAGGAAGGGCCTGTCAGACAGGCTGCAAGGCACCCTGTCGAACGCAGGGGTGAGGAGCATCAGCCTGTTTGCAGTCATTGGGGACACGGCTGCAGATGTACGAACCTTCGCAGTGGACCACTGCAATCTCGACAGAGGAAGAGATGTGGTAGCAGTGGCTGGGATGATCGATGCATGGCAGGCCTGCAAGACCAGAATGGTCACGAGGAACCAATCAGAGGCCGACGCCGTGAATGCATCGATGCCCCCTCCGCTGAACAAGGCAGAAGCGCAGGACTTGCGAGTGCGCTTCGAGCAGCTGCACTACAGGCTGGAAGACAAGGTGACGCCTTCCACCGGCACGTTGGAGCAGCTGTTCGAACAGATCGAGACGGGCGAGTGGAAGAGGATGTCCCTGGTGATGTTTCTCAGCAGGGACGATGCAGATTCAGAGCCGATGGCGGCGACTCTGGACAAGAATGGCACGGTACGTGTCAAGAAGGGCTATGGAGAGAGCAAGCCACCAAAGACCGGGGAGGAGCTCCGCCAACGAGTCAAGCTCCTCGGTCACACGTACCTGTTTGCACAACTGAAATTCCCCAACAGGCATGAGTTGAGGAATATAGGTCCCAACTTGTTCAACAAGTACGCGGACTTTCTCCTCGGAGAACATGTCATGGGACTTCAGGCCAAGGATTCCCGTGGCGAGGTTGTAGCAACACCAAGCCTGGAACTGGTGTTGAGTTACGAGTTTCAGGTGAGGAAGTTGATGGTGAAGTACATGAACGATGGCGTCGACATGGTGCGAGCTTTGAAGGAAGCCATGAAGGATTCCACCACCAAAGAACGCTACTTCCTCACACCGGCTGCCCTTGATGCTGCAATGAGCGGAAGGGACCAGGGCAGGGGGTCGAGATCTCCCCGGAGAGACCACTCCCGGGAGGATGGATATACCAGGGGATCGCAACCCTCTGGAAAAGGAAAAGGAGGAAAAGCACGATCGAAAGGCGGCAAAGGCAAGTCCCTCCATACCAAGACGCCAGATGGGCGTGACATATGCTTCGCATGGAACAACAGGGACCAGCGATGCCGCTACCAGTGCGGAAGGGTGCACTGCTGCCAGATTTGTTTCGGCAATCACCCAGCGCATTCGTGCAAGAAAGGAAAAGGAGCCTCGCAGCCAGACACGGCTGGGGAGGGGAAGAAGGACAAGTGAAGCCACGAGAGCCCAAGGGCGCCCTCCCCCTTGGGTGAAAAGGATGACAACATGAGGAGGGATACAGTTCAGGTGACAGGAGAGTCACCTGAAGTTTTGCAAGAGACTGCAGTTGGCGATGGAAACTGCAGTGCCAGTCCGGCTGGGGCTGGAAATTCGTCGGGTTTCACCCTGAAAGTTCTCTACCTCTTTGCCGGGGCGGAGCGTAAGACGTCTGTGGTCGAGTGTCTGCGTCGGTTGACAAAAGATGCGGGCTGGAGACTGGAGGCGCAGGAGATCGACCTCAAAAGAGGGTCAGGTTTTGATCTCACCCAAGAACAGTTGCAATCGAAGGTTTTGGCCGATATTGCAGCTGGATTGTTTCACTGTGTTATTTGCACCCCCCCTTGCAGCACTTGGTCACGTGTCCGAATGGCCAACCTGCGAGGCCCACCGCCTCTGCGCAGCAAGGAGCATCCGTGGGGGTACCCATGGGTGAAGCGGAGGTTTCAACACGACTTGGATCTGGGAAATGAACTAGTCCGGTTCACTATCGAAGTTTGGGAAACTGTGGATAGGTATCCCCAGTCTGTTGATGGTTTACCAGTGTTCTTGTTTGGGGAGCATCCCGAAGATCTAGGTCAAGTAGAAAGGGAAGAAGACGGGATGCAATTGAATCCAGCTAGCATCTGGCAGCTGGAGGAGATACGTAGGTTAGTAGATAAGGAAGGGCCCGTCAAGACAGTGGCCATAAATCAGTGTTGTTGGGGCGCACCATGGCGCAAGCCAACAAGGCTGGTCACCACAGCCGCTTCAGTTCAAGAATGGGGGCCAGGCCAGTGGCCCAATATGGATGAGAACAATGTGTATCAAGGGCCGTTGGCACGTACTTGCCAGTGCAAAGTGGAGGTATCACTGGCAAGGAAACAAGGCGACGAGGGGTTCCGCACTTCAGGGACCGACATATACCC